TATTCTGCAGACTTCCATTCAGAGGTACCATGATATGAACAGCATTAGCTCTTATTAGCATTTTCTAAGAGTAGATTGCAAGAGTGTTTTCAGGGAGAGACTGACAGAAACACCTGACTGAAGGTTTGCTGCACAGTCCAACTTTTAGGTGGGTCTGAGGCTGCAGAGGGTCTCCCCTTTCACCTTTAAGATTATGCACATCTACTCCAAATTCTTGTAACAAAAAAGATCACTGTTTCCTGCCTTCTTCCTCCGTTTCCTCCATAGCAAATGATTTCCTAGCATGTCTCTGAAGATCTGTCAGCTCTATTATATCTTGACTTTGCCATCAGTCACAGTATCTCTGTAAGGGGAGACAGCTTCATTTAATAGATATGGAAGCAGAGGCCACCTGAGGTTAAGTGTTTTGTCCAAATTGCACGTGAAGTACGTGCAGGACCTAAAGCTGAATACAGCAGCCGGCATCTTTCTGCAAATAAGAGGCAGGCTGGAGAATCCAGAACTTCTAAGCTTTGTCTTCCATTGGTATGATTTTGAATTAGGAGAGTATATTTGTATGTCATTGTTTGAGTTCAGAGATTGTTCTGAATTCAGATTTGTATCTTAAGTACCTAGCAGTGTGCTGGACACAGGATAGGTACTTGATAATTCCATGTGGGATCAATGAAAGGATACCAGGAACATCCTTTGCCTGGCAGAAGACAGTGGCATTTTTATTTCCAACCACAGTGGTGCTGATTAATCTCAATTCTCCATTCTGCCACCCCATCACCCCCACCAATGCCTGAAATCCCCCTATTTTTAATAAATACATTTACAACAAGCAATGGTCTTTACCTGAAGTTGCATAGAGGGAGGAGCAAAGATTAGGCAGTAGAACTGGATTTCAATCTTTGGGCGTCTTTTGTACCTTCTTCATGCCTCAACTTGAGGCTAAAAGCAAACACAGCTGCTACCACTATCCCAAAGACTACTGGTGTTTATTAGGCACTTACCTCACACCAGGGAATGTGTTGGGGGTGGGGGGTCTTACAGGCATCATTACATACACTCTGCAGAACACAACTGGGAGGCAGGTCTTATCTCCATCTTACATTGGCTCAGAGACATTGAGTCTCCTGTCTGATGTCACACAGCCAGTCAGGCAGAGCTGGAACAGGGGGGGAATGACTGTTGTGAGAACTTGATGGCTAGCCCTCCATCAACAGCAGCTCCTAAGATGACGGCGATGATTGCAGTCCTTGGGGTGTGTAGCACAGTGGGTGCACAGCATTTCAGTATGGGTAGGTTTGTGAGATCAATTCCCTCCCTCAGAATAAAGACAGTCAGTGTAAAACTCTCTCTGCCTGAGGGGGAGAAAACTCAAGGATGTTAGGGAGTGAGGATGTGGGAAGTGATCACATTACTCCAAAATTAAAACTGTCCTTTTGAGAATGTACTCCTCAACATTCAGCTGTGGGGGCGTGTGCGAGCGGGAAAGAGGAAACAGAGGCTAAGACACATTTTCTCAATTCCACAATTTACCCATGGCGTCTTGATGTGCTATAGGCTTGAATATTACAAAGAACAGGATGAAACGCTGTTCCTTGATCTTCCCTTAAGAGAAATCTGTTGCTGTATGTTCAGCTTTCAGGCCGAGTGTAGCATCCACTTGTTTCAGCAGAGAGCTGCCAGAAGAGAATAATAACACCAGCAGTGTTATCTGCTGACACCAAGGACAGGAGCACACTTACAGCCTCGACTTGGCGTCATGCCTCGTGTAAAGGCGCCCAGCAGCCTGGCGCACTGACAGTCTCCCTGGGACACGCCGGCTTGCTCCAGTGCTATTTAAATCTCTCTATATGGTGTATTGCTTGATTTCCTTCAAGCCTACTCTCTCTCTAATCTCACTTCTCATTTGTTTGCATCCCTAAGAAACGAATGAGAAAGAGTATGATATAGATGATGTTAACCTGGGATACACAGACCCAAACATGAATGGGCTTTGGGCCAATCTTGAACCAAACCCCTGACCTCTCAAAGGTTGAGAGAGAGGCCCAGACCCTCTTGATTTCTAGAGGCTCCAGGAAGATTAAAAAGTAACTATACCAAAAAAGTGGGCTAACAAAATAGTTGTTTATTTTTAAGCAGCTTGCTATAATAAATTAACATTTTCAGCACAAGGAGCATAAAGCTATACAACTTTGCAAAAAGCACAGTTATTTACAATGTTTATTAAAAGATGCAAATTTGGAATGCATTTTGGGTGGTTATAGCCCAGCCATTGGTCACAAGATTAGAGGCATCTGGTGAATGTTTTATTTTTTCAACTTTCAGAGTGTGTTTCTGTGAGAGATTTGTAATCTCATTTCAAAAAGAAGGTTCATAGTCAAAATTCGAGGGGATGTGAGTCCTTGGCCGTGTGGTCCCCCTGATTCCTCTCTTTAGCTCAGCCCTTCCAAGAGGCTCTATTCCTGACGCTGATGGCAAACTTGTGCTTCTGAGTTCATTTTCTAGATTTCACAGATTCTCTAAGCAGTCCATTCTCCAAAAAAAAAAAAAAAA